ACATTGGACAATGGACAATGGACACTGGACACTGGACAATGGACAATGGACAATGGAAAATGGACAATGGACAATGGACAGTTAAAACAGGATTAACAAGCAAAATATCAAAGAAAAAAATAGGGGATTAGAATCTAATATAAAAAATTTGAAGATTAAAAGTTGAAAGTTGAGGAAACTGAGTGGTTTTAACTCATTCTCTTCTAGTAGGATTATAAATTGATCCTTTATCGGTAAAATCTCTATCTCCTTTTTGACTTATGAGATCAGTTAATTTTCCGCCCAGGAGAAAAGTAGTTAAACTCATTCTATTCAGTTATTAGTTCTTATCTCCGAGTTTAAATGGATGAAAGAATTCATGGTAAAATTTAGACAGAATTGAACAGATTTGAAAATGTGGAAAACACAAACATTTTAATAAATAACGGCGCCGCAAAATGATATTTTTAAAGGAAAGGACTAACGTAAAACAAGATTAAAGGGCATATTTTCCATTCCAATTATTTTAAGGTACGGTATAGGTTCCCATGATCTAATTAATAATGTCCTGGTATCCCCAGGATTATCAATCTCTTCAGGTTTAAACTCAAGGTTAGGACGGATATCAGGGCAGGACTCCAGGAGAGGAGGAAGGAAGAGGGAGGAAGGAAGCAACATAATTTAACAAAATTATTAGGTTAATTTAATTTTATTGAGGGACTCAAACACGGATATACTAAAGAAGAACTGGGAGACTAATTTTGGTCAATTGATAAACATTTTGTGGTTCCCTTTTTTTATCCAAACCAAAGGATTTCCTGAAAAAAAAGTTCAAAGACCACAAAGGTCAGAATTTGGAATTTTTCTGTATAATTTTAATTCAAATACTACCCCCCCCACATTGTTTTAAGACATACAGGAGGATCAACGCCTGTAAAAAACATTGATGATTTCATTATAATTCAATTTATTTTTAGGGCTTGGGAAATCCCATTTTTTATAGATTTAAATGAGGGGGGGGGAAATAACTTTCCGTTTTTATAAAACTTATATCTGTAAAAAATGTAAGTGAACAATGTTTTAGCAATGCTATTTAGCTGTATATGGTTAAATTGTAAATAAGTAGAAATCATAGTTTTTAAAAACTTTTGTAACCTGTTCAGATGACATTGAGCTAAATTCAGATAATTTTCTTCAATTTCTCCACATCAATTACCAATTCGGCTTTTTTGTTGAAAATTTGACATTTTCAATGAATTCGATTTACCTTGAGAAGGGCATAAAGTAAAATCAAAATGGTAGAAATTTGGTTTAGTTTTTATTTGTAATAGAGGAAATCACAGAAAAAATGGGAAATCGATTACAATTTTACAACTTTAAAACTGCACACAGTTATAACCAGAAAGACCCGGAATTGATTGACAATTAATGAGACGACTTTTAAATCGTCTTTGATCTTTTAAATAGTTTACGGTATTCATTTGTCATTATAATTTTACAAGTATACAAATATGATTGATAATAAGATAATCAAAAAATAGCTCTAGTCCACTCTAGTATGCCGAGTCCATTAGCGCCTGATCCAATCAGGGTTCAGTCATATCTTTGTTGTCTATTCTGAACCAATAGAAATAGTATGGCGGTAACATCTATCTTTCATCTCATTATCCAATCAGAGTTATGAATCCTTCAATCTGCGCTATCAGTAAATGGAAATATTTACTTCTACTGAAACTATGGCGAGTCCTGCCAATTTCAAAATCTGGTCTACCTTTTTTTTGCGCGTTCACAATTACCCGAGATAAGAGTTTTGGTTAGATTTTGGTTTTTATTTAATAACATGAAAATTTTCTAATTTTGAATGAAATCAAATTCATATCTTTTGTGATTTTGAACGCACAAATAAAGAAAAAAGGCAGACCACATTTTGGAAATGGCAGGACTAGTGCTATTTTGTGATTAGCGTATTATCAATCAAAGGAAATGAGTTTTTGCCACAAATTCTGATTTTTAATCCTTTTTTCTTCGCAATCCAATGTCGTATATCTTAGACATTTCAAACTACGAATTATGTTAGATCAAGTAATCTTAATTTGAAATATCAAAGCCTTACATCATTAGGTTGCAAAGATATAGGAATGTTTTTTGGGACACCCTGTATAAAAAACAGGGAAAAGGGAAGATTTAAAATATCTATAATATTAAAGGAACTGACGTTGTAATATTAAGTGATCCTTCAATATAAAATATTTATAATATTAATGGAACTGACGTTGTAATATCAAGTGATTCTTCAATATAAAATATTTATAATATTAAAGGAACTGACGTTGTAATATGAAGTGATCCTTCAATATAAAATATTTATAATATTAAAGGAACTGACAAAAGTAAAACAATAACCTCATTAATTCTTAGTCAAATAGATATCAATAATCATAAAAAGCCTAAAAAATACTTTTTGGTTTTTCTATTATTTAATTATTTTTTTTCCAGAAATATTTAAATTTTCAATATCATGATTTGGTTTTGCAGAAAACCCTGGCCCTTATAAATGATAAATCTGCAAATAATTTGCATTGCATTGTACTCTAAACCGAAAAGGTTACTTTGCGGATTTCTTTCCCGCAGTTCTCTACACGATAGCAATTAGATCTATCTAAAACAAGACATTTATATATATGTTGCGTATAGCCGGCCAAACGGTTGGACCGATTGGGCGGAATTTTTTTGCGGACACTCATGGGTGGCCGGGGGGTGTTAAAACTCAAAATGAGGACACGAATAGATGTCGTCATCCAGTGCCTAAGTGTATACGATTAGTGTAAACTTGTACAGAACTTTTGTTAAAACAGAAAAATCAGAAGAATACACATTTGACATGTATGCTATGTATGTACAGTGTCCGATGTATAACCATGTCTGTACAGTGTCCGATGTATAACCAATTCTGTATAACAGTGTCCGATGTATTGTATAACTAGGTCTGTACAGTGTTTGATGTATATCCATGTATGTACAGCGTCCGATTTATAACCATGTCTGTACTGTACAGTATCCGATGTATTACCATGTCTGAAAGGTGTTTCAATGTATAACGATGTCTGTACAATGTCCGATGCATAACCATGTTTCTAAGTGTACAGAGTCCGTGTATGACCATGTCTGTATAGTGTCCGATGTATGACCAATGACCATGGATGTACGGTGTACAGTGTCCGTATATAACCATTTGTGTACAGTGTCGTGTATAACAATGTCTGTGCAGTGTCCGATGTGTAATTATGTATATGCAGTGTCCGTTTAAAAACATGTATGAACAGTGTCCGGGTATGAATCGAGTGTCCGTGTATAATAATGTCTGTACAGTGTCCGATGTGTATGTTCTCCCTATTGAGTGAGTATACTGGGCGTAGTCTTGTTATTAATAACTACGGTAGCATTGACCCTCTCGACCCTTGCATTCTACAGGGCTACCAGGTTCACAACAATTACACCTTCATAAATATAACAATTGTATACAATATAACAGTTTGCAGTTGGATAGGTATGCTTTGTGTAAGTTACACAAATTTACATTTATTTTTGTGTAATTGATAAAAATAAATTGAAATTTTAAAACAGTTTGTCAGCTAAAGGAATTGAGTCTTTGCCACAAACTCTGATTTTTAAATTCTTATATCTTTGCAACCCAATGTCGTAGACCTTAGACATTTCAAACTTTGACTTTTGTTATATCAAATAATCTAAATTTGAAATATCAAAGGTTTACATCATTTGGTTGTAGAGATATAGTTATTTGAAGATTGGGATTTGTGGCAAAGACTCAATTCCTTTGAGCTCAATTAGACTAGTAACTAATTTCGATCTTTAATTTGCAGCACTCACACTCACAGTATGTAAAAATTACAGTTTCTTAAAGAAACATTTTCTTTTGCTTTTAATAACCTTCTCTAGCATAAATTACTATGGCATCCTAAGTGGTTCACTGTGATGTAAAGGTCCCAAGCTCTCCAGCAAAAAACGATGAGATTTTTTCCAATTCCTTGTTAAGAACTAAAACTTTAAAGTGCTGAAATGTGCATGTAAAGGGCTGCAGAAAAGTAAAGTGAGTTAGAGCGGAAAATTAAAGCCCAAGGCGTTGTGACACTTCAAAGTCGACCCTGTCTTAAAAAATAATGAGACTTTTTATAATCAGGATGGATCTATGTGGGTTATTTCCCGTAAATTTTGCATGCAGCATAAAGGATGTTTCTTTGAAATTGTAAAAAAAAACTCTAGTGCGCTTTCCTGTTGGCTGTTAGGCCTATTAAACAAAATGTGGTCGGACTTGGTAGGAATCAAAAATTGAAATCGAAAGTCGTCTTCATGGTATTGATATATACGACGACGCCTGTATTAAACCTGGTGTTAATGTAGAGATAGACCCCTGACCCTCTGTATCCCTTGTATCTAAACCTATTGTAATAGTTCTCATAACAACATCACAATCACATAATTAATCTTAAATCTAAGAAATATATTTATTCTTAGAATCCGGTTTCAAGAATACTACCAGGTGATTCAGAACCTTATGGCCATGTAAAATATTGGCAAATTATTACACAAAGTTTTTACAAAGGAATACTTGCCTCAAATTATTATTTTTTAATCACTGTATCCTTGCATGATTCTGTGAACCTTTGAAATTTCAAACCTTGATTATTAAAATTAACAGAATTCAAAAATCACAGTTTAAAATATTAAAGGTCTACGACAGCAGATTGCCAAGGTATAAGGAGTAAAAGTAAGTGTTCAGTTTCTTTAACAATTACAAGTAATAATTAGATTATAACCTTTGCCGCATTCACGAGTTCAATTGATTAAAAAATAGGCGGAAAAAATGTAGCAGGGTATAAAATGAATTTTAATCAAATTATAAATCGATCGAAACTATTTCAATTTATATATATATATTTTTTTCCAGATTAAAAAGGTTTTTTCTTCAAACTTTTTAATTTATCAAATTTGTTAGGCGAAAACGACGGCCTTTATCAATTATGTTTATATTCATAAAGATATTAAGAAATAACGATATAAAAGTACATTGTTACAATTAAATAATACTCTTAAACATACGACGATGGAGGCAACCAATTTTAATGAATTAACAAAATCTGATTATTTTTATCAGCTTTTTGAAAGGATAAGATGGAAGACAATGGAAACACAAATTGACAAAAGCTAAAAACACAATTAATTTTTATATTTGTTTAAATTCTTATTTATTGAAGTTATTTCTTTTCACAATTATGTTTCTTTTAGAAATGCAAAAGAGGGAGTTTTCATAAATTATTTCAAGAATTGGTTTTAAAATGAAAAAATTGCAAAATTTACAGTTACATAATGCTCAAAACGGAAGACACTGGTTTCTTAAATACATGTAGAAGCAAATTTATACATTTTATTATACACTACAGGGTATTTCGCAAAACATGCGAATTAAATGATGACTTGTATGTTACACTTTTCGTGAATCCAATACCAAGATATATACAGCAATTTTTGTATGTTTAACATTTTTGAATTAGATATCTGTCAAAGACATTTTCTTAATAACTTTCTTTTAAATTGATTTGAATTTGAAATCAATGACGATCTTAAAATTGTTTGAACACCCTGCAGGCTGTGTCATATTAACTACAATGAGATCCAAAAAGTGGAATAACAAATTTAATTCCAATAAACATGGAACACAGAAATGTGCAGTGTGCAGTTATCACTGTTCACAGACCCATGTCCCTTAATTATACAAGTTAATTTTTTAGCTGCTGGGAGAACTATTTGGTTTATAACCATATTAACCAAATCAAACAAAATTTCCTAAAGATTCACTCCTATTCCAAAGTTTTTATTGCACTATAATTTAAAGGTCCCAAGCTCTCAAGAGAAAATCTATGAGAATATTGCCAATTACTTCTTAAAAGCCAATTTAAAGTGCTACAATGTACATGTAAAGGGCTACAGAAAGCATAAGTGCATAAATTACAGCATGGGCCTCACTGTAAATCATTATCATATATATACGTATTACAAATACAAAGCAGGTAAGGTTTACATAATGCTCAATATCAAAATAAACATTTTTTTGAAATAATAAAATGTTTCAATGACAAATGTTATACTATAAAATAAGCCATAAAGAAGACAACATTTGTTAATTCCACACCAAACCTAATTATTTTAATGCTTAAATTCACTTCGACACTAAATGAACTTTATTAAGTTTAAAATATTCTCCAGACACTAAGGCTGGTCAGGTTTAGAATTTTGACTTTGGTTTCTGTTTGGAAATTTGTTATTTTTCATCATTTTCCTTCCATTTTGATTCCTCTTGGCTTGTAAATTTTTCTTCAATGAATTCTGTCCGTTCGTGTTCCAATTGTTTTTATTCTTATTTAAACTATTCTTTTTAGACTTTGGATTGGGTTTCTTTGCTCCTAATTTGTTCTTGTTGGAATTTAGTATTTTATTGTTCTTTTTCTGTAAAGCTTTCTTGGCTGCAAACTTTCGATTCTTGCCATTTTTCCTCAAACCGACAAATTGTCTCCTAGTAAAACAACAGATTTAAATGTCGTCTTCATAAAATAGTTTTTTTTCTCATGATTACAAAATTTTCAAACTTTTATAAACTATCCGAAGAAAAATTCAATATTTTTTTGCCAATTCTAACCTTTTGTTGGGCTCCGCTTTCTTTTCTGCCATTTTCTTGGGGTCCTCTTCTTTACCAAGCACTGAAATTATGAATTATTGTTCCATAGATTAATAATAACACAGATAGAACACTATGTGCCGTCTTTTCAAGATTTAGTGATTTTTCGTTTACAATAACCCTGAGGCAGAGGTCCAAAGAAGTTACGCGCATGCTCTCTCTCTGTTTTGTAATTCAACTTTTTTTCAATAAATAATGTGTTAAAGTTTGTACAAGTAACTTTTTTCCAGCCATACTCCCATATCAATCTGATGAATGATTTTAGCCTTTGCATATTTTAGTTTAGACCAGATAGATTGTCAAGAACTTGACGATCTATCTGGTCCTCTGGTCCCGTTGGCTGCAAGTCTGTAACTAATAACTTGCTTTCAATTGTTAACACAAATGTTCCGATATTTTTTAACTTTTTCCATTTCTGAACTGAACTTTGACAAGGTTTACTTCTACCTAGATAATCTTCATACTCGTATCCAAACAGTTCAAAATCATATTTGTAGATTTCTGCCAAACTCAGAATCTGAAATCAGTTTAAATACAGGGTGTCCCACGTAACATGACAATAGCAAGACGACTTGAAAGTCGTCTTTGATATTTTAATTTATTTGTGACATTTAGTCTTCTATCTACTTTAACATGTATGATTCTTGAAACAATTATCACATAATTCTCCTAGCCCTGGCATTTCCAAAAAGTGGTCTGCGTTTTTTGTGCTTTCAATATTACCAAAGATATAAAGAGTTTGGTTCAGATTTCAATTTTGTTAAATAAAAGCAAAATTGTCGAAATCTGAACGAAATTTTTCATATCTCGGGCAATATTGAAAGCACAAAAAAGGCAGACCACATTTTGGAAATGGCAGGACAAGGAAAATTTTGTGATTATTATCTCTGGAAATTTACTTCTAAAATTAGGTTGACAAAGAAACGCAGCAAAGTATATCAAAAATCAAGAAGACATTCAAGTCGTCTTGCATACTGTCATGTTTCGTGGGACACCCTGTATATTCTTCAGGATTTTTATTTGTTGTTTAAAAAATGCATTAAAATTTATAAATTAATTTCCATTTTTAATTTGCATTTCATTTGATATGGATTTTCTCGACAAACTTGAGCAAAAATCAGTGACAAGACATTAAGGAAAATTTGAAAAAGATTTTTTATCAAACTGATAAAAAAAGGAAAACTGTAAAAATTACCTGGTTTTTTGTTAACTTCTCAAAATATTTACTGGCCTTGTTCAACGAGTTTCTATACAAAGAAGTAGTTAAAGAATCTAATCGATTAGAAGACATTATAAAATTGATCACAAAGTTTAGCTGAATTTTCAAAATATTTGTATCAAGCATGTTTCTATTTTAAGAATTTTTGAATAAGAAGTTGTACTGTCCTTCAAATATTTAGGGCTTCTATTTAAATTGTAAATATGTTCTTTTTGTTTACATTTTAAAACAAAGAAAAAAATTTTGCGGATTTAAAAAAAAAATCGCGGATTTTCAAGAATTTAAATTTTTTTACAAAATTAAAAATCTTTAAAACACATTATTTTTTAGTTTTTATTGTTCATAAATCTTTCCTGTGGTCACGTGATGTCCCACAAAAAATTTGGACCCGATCGGTTCAGCCGTTTTGACGTTTATTGGTCACAAACAAACAAACAGACAGACAAGCCAAATTTATATATATATTTAACGCTATTAATGAATTTTTTTTGAATTCTTGCAATTTAGTACAAAAATAATTGAAATAAGAATATTTTTACCGTTTGCCTCCAATTGCGTGCACTGCCATATTTGGAGACATATTGAGTTTTCTGGTTGTAATGTACTGCTTTATCTCATCTTGATCTCCATCTGTACATGAGGTGTACATAAACAAAGAGTTTAAATACTAGGTCTATGTATTTCGAAAAGCCAGATCAGAATGAATCAAGAATAACTAACAAGAATTGAGATACAGGATTTAAGAAAGAATGAGACTTACTCTAAATAAGGACAAATTACACTTTTCAAATCTGAACCTGAAAATTTTGGAATGAATGACATGTTTGTTTTTCATTTTACTTGTCGGTAAAAATTTATTACTCAGTATTTAGCAAATGTTGCAAATGAAATATATTTTTCTAAAAATTCTTGGAGCAATTTATAAAAAATACAGTTGAGTTGCAAACTACAATATTCTCAGCGACATTTCATAATTGAAGAAAACGAAGATGAAGAGAATTCTGGTTCTCACTCATATTTTATTTTGAAAATGATTAGAAATGAAGTACATTTCATTTACTCAAATATACAATAGTTTACTATCGTATATTTTAGGATTTTAAGGAGAAATATTCCCTTACTTTGAACGGCAAATTTTGACGAAGACGACAAAAACTAAGACGACTTTCTATAATATAGTTACCTAGTTTTAGAACTTTATAGTTTAAGTCACAAACAGGGCACACTGTGTAGAAAGGAGTCCATGTATTTTCTAGAAGTTTAATATAAATATATATATATATATATTGCATCTATTGTATTGTATTTTAAAACATTTAAAACAATAAGAAAGTGTCAGTGTAGAAAAAAATTTTTAAAAATTTTTAAAATTATGTGATAAAATAGAATTGTATTTATTTATATATATTTCCTTTGAACCAGGAGGCTGGAGTAGCATTTAGATTTTCTCTGCTTCTAATTATATTTATATTTTCTATTATTACATACTAAAATTGAATTACCTTAAGGGTCGGCAGGTTAAGTATAATTTTTATTTCAAATTGTCCTATCAGATTTTTACTGTTGACGAACGGTAAAACAGCAAAACATTATGGAACCCATAGCGATAGTTTAAAAAAAGACATTTTTAACTTTAATAATTTATTTTGGTTAAGGCGTGTGGGCACAATCTCACGCATACAAATAAATTAAGGTCTTTCTATTATTTTGTTTTGCTCAAGATCGGTAAAAAAGTCATGTACCCAACGTTTTGTGTTGCGCCATTGTCTTAAAAACTTGACCATGGGTAACCCTATAAACCATAGTAAACACTTATTTTCTTATTTTACGCGGGCTGATCTTGCTTCCTGTTTTTCCATAGGCTTAACTATTAGGTTTGGTTAAACAATAATGATTTTTGTTAATTGCATGTAGCGTTGATAAATAAAAGACATGATAAAGCCGACTTTTACCTATTTGTTTACTGCAATGGGAATTACTGTAGTAATTGACAACGTACATGACAAAAATTGACAAGTTTTTTTTTCTGAAATTTCATGCCAGTACATACTGAGAAATTCATGGAGTCGCATTTATTCTAGATTTTCAAATTTCTGATCGGGATTTCTCATCAATCCATTTATGGGGGAATGGGTGGGGATGGGGGAGGAGGTAAAATATTAAAATAATATAATAATCTGCCTGATCAACCAATCTACAAATTCTGGAAAAGATGGCTGAGATCTGAGCTGAGCAAGATTTATCACATTCCTCCGTAGCATCAGCTGGAAATACAGGGTGTACCAAAACATTGGAGAAAAAAGTTACTTTAATTTCGTCTTTGTTCTGCGCGGCATTTCTGCATCAACAGAATGTGCATGATAGTGCCAGTCTCAGGTATACTTGTATGGAGATTTTATAAATGTGGTCTGGAAATTTGCACCTTCCCAATAAAATTTGTTTTTCTTCAAATTTTGATGTATTAAATAAATCAAGAATTGTTTAAATATTAAATTGATATTTTCATAAACTTTTAACAGATCTGTAAATAAAATACAATACTTAAAATCTCATGAGACGAATGACCCTTTTTGATACACATTAAATCAAGGACTTTATTGTCTTTAAATTTCCAATTTATACTATTTGAATTTGATCTGATTCATTGCATTAATACTTACAGTGAGTCCGAATTTAATGAATTCGAGCCGCGTCTCAAAACCGCCAAAAACCGGTTTCAATTAAGCTCCGGCTAAAATCTTGAAACATTGAATACTCTTTCAAGTGGAACCAACCATATTTAAGCCGTGTCTCAAATTTAAACCGAGGCTAAAAGTCTTTTAAATCGGCCAATGCAATTAATCTATAATTTCAATTTTTTTTCTCATCGAAACAATTAATAAATAGAGATGCTAAAATCTAAATCCCATTAAACTTTAAACATTAAATACCTGATATTTTTTGCTCTGCAATATTTCTTTTGGGAATGCAATTTTCTTCTTGTTGTTCCTTCTCCTCTTCTTTATCTGTTCCTGAACAGAGTGATGGAACCTGTACGGGAACGGATGAGGGTTTAACATCTTGTCCTGAAAAATACTTGATTAAAACGAATATTTCCTCTATATTTCAAATGAATATTTCCTCTATATTTCAAATGAATATTTCCTCTATATTTCAAATGAAATTATAGAATTTAACTTAATATCGCACACGGGGAAAAGGGAAAATTTATGTGAGACAACTCCGTAAGTTTAAAGAGTGTTGATTTATTAACCAAAACACGATTGAATTCAAAATCTGGGATTTTCAAATGGTGGAATCCATCGAGGATTGAGTGGCAAAGATAAAGGGTTATCTACAGTGAAACCCTTAATAACGAAAACATCGGAAGAATTTATAAAATGTCGTCTTGACAATTTTTCAATGAGTTTTATACTACATTACGTAAATCATAAATAAATAAATAGCCATGAATATGCTGGAACAGTTTTAAAGAGTTCCATATAATCATTTAATTAAAAAACTAAATTTCTGCAACATTCCATTATCAGAAAGTGAAGAATACGACATTTGATGAATTCTTTCGATGTATTCGTTATTAAGGATTTCACTGTACAAATTATGAGACTTTAATAACGATCTGAAACTCAATAAGTTTAAGTTATAACCGCCAGAATATTTAATTTGTTTTTCCACCTCAACAATACAGTTTATAGATGCAGAACACCTAGAATGTAAAAAAAAAAAAATTCTGTACAGTCGTCATTGAAGTCTCATGCATTAAGTAGTTAATCCTGTGTAGGGAGTCAATCAGAGTCAATTGCTAAGTAATTATTTATTTGCTTTTCTTATATTTATCGCTAATTGTATAATGTAACATATTGTATATGTATAATATTAAATAACCTCATATGCTGACACTAGACGAACGAAAGGATGTCTGACCAGCATAAAACCCTCGCTAGTAGACCAAAGCTGCTGGAGATCACCAAGATCATCTGCAGGAGGAGGTTGGTAGACATACCTAGCAATTATCAATAATGATAATATAAATAATAATAGACATAATAATAATCATGCTAGTAATCATTAAATTAATTAAAAGCATAAAAATTTTTATATTTAGGCAAAGTTCTATTTACTTTTATTTCCTTGATAGTAGCAAGCCTCGCGTTTATCAAATCCTCGGAGGTAGAAAATTCTTTTTTTANTTTTTAAAACCTTAACAAATTATTATTATATTAATAATATTTATTTGAATATTTTCTCAGATGGAAAGGAACTGAACTCCTGCGAAAGTCTGGATTACAATCATTGGAGTACATCGGAGACCCTTAAATTTTCATCGGAGACCCCCACCTTTTTTATAAATAGGGGTATCCGAGGAAAAAGTTTTGGTTTTCCGATAAAATCTTTAATAAATATATCGGGGTATCCGAAAAAAGCTTTGGGTCTTCAATGAAAATCTTGGTGTCTCCACGAAAAAATGAAAAATGTATAATATCTATAAAGTACTCCAATGATGAGGATTCTTTCTATTTCTGTCTGGAACGAATGTTTTTTTTCTAACGTCTTTTGGTGTTTTTAGGTCATTTATGATTTAGAAATTTTCCTACATAATTTTGACGTAGATTTTTAAATGGCCTTGCCTTACTGAATTTTCTGAGACACAATACATAGGCTAGCATTATATAACGTAGAAGTTCTTCACTCAATCTCTTAGCATCCTCAGTCTAGAAATATAGACACAGGGTTGTTCACAACGAATGAGACTGTAAGAAGACGACATAAAGTTGTTTAATATGATGAGTCCAAGGATGAATCATTGAATATTGTCGTTTCATGGCGTGTTTACTGATTGGACAAAGAACAAAACAACAGTTGCAGGGAACCAGGCATCCAATAGTCTAAATTCCGTACAGTCTGAAGTCTCATTCTTTGTAGGTAACCATGTATGATTAGAAATGGGCATAGTTTTTTTTTATTCAGGGGTATGTTTGTCATATTTAAGTTATTGTTATACACATAAATTAATTAAAATAATAGATAGGACACTAGATGTCGTCTTTTCTAGATTTATGTGTGTTTTTTTCACAATAACCCTGAGGCAGAAGCCATAAGGAGTTATTTGTAGTCGGCGTAGAACAAATCAGAGAAAGAGCCTGTTCTACGCCGACTACGTGCAACTCCTTTGGGCTCTGTCACAGGGTTATTGTGAACGAAACATACATAAATCTAGAAAAGACGACATCTAGTGTCCAATCTATTATTTTAATTAATATATGTAGTTATATTTCATCGCAGTATGTTTCAACCCAACAAAGTTAAATGGGCTGAACTTGCAACTTCAAGTGACATCCTGGCAAAGATGTCAATGCCCGATTTACAATGGTCCGTTTCAGAGCGTCTTATTGTTCAAGTATGAATAGTAACAATGTTTATAATTTTGGTAACTGAATATTTTCAATTGTGGTTTCTCCACAAAAGTTACTTACGCATTTATAGTGCAGGAAAACAAAAAGGTATACTCAAAATTAAACACTTTAAAATTTTGACCATGAAATCTAATTTACCGTAATTATTAAAACTACTTCTCTTGATGATAAAGTTTTAAAAGAAGGTTTAGAGTAAAAATATAAAAAAAGATTAGGCTTTTGCGTCATAACTTAAAAATATCTTTAATTGATTAAAGTGTTTCTTATTTTATTTATAGTTTTACGGTTTACAAGGTAATTTGAAGACGTTAAAAATAACAATATTGAACTAAATGGCTGGACCGATTGGACTGAATTTTTTGTGGACACTCATGGGCCCTTCAGCTAGTTCTATATATATAAAACAAAAATAGGGTGTCCCGGAAAAAGGACTGCACCTATTTCTGCGTTTAACAGTATAAAATTTGGGTTTCGTTGTATAACTTTAAATATTGGAGGAGATCTTTCTTTTGAGGAATATCTAAAAAATTTCTTTAACTTTCATATTTAACCATATTTCATTGTGTTTTGGAAATTTTGTTATTCTAATTACTAACTTTGTAATTTAAAGTTATTTCCCCCAAGTAGATTCTAGTACAATAAATGGCAACCAGGCAACGTAGAACTCTCAGTACAGCTGTATTCTTACATCACAAGTGCCAATTCAGGTTTTGTGTCCGACAAAATTATTAATAGTAGTGATCATTTTAATTTTTATTTAATCTTGAAAATTTCGTTTTCCTTGTTATATTTGACACTTGTGACGTTGTGTATAATCGGTTCATTTCTCTGTTCCCACCTATTGTACTTGATTTCCCCCAGACTTCACTGATAACCTTATAACTCTGGAATAGAAGTCAACATTTATGACTTTAAATAGTTCATTGAACAGCAGTTGTGCAGTGTAAACAGACCCATTTATGTTAATAACGAATTATAAAAGTAACTAGTAAAGCTAGTTGCTTTGTAACACTAACAAATTAATTATTGCTTAAATTTCGTCTTCTTATTCCAAAGTTTCCTGGTTCTCACTGCATTAAAAAATACAATTGTTGTATAGTTAAACCCTAAATAAGCCATTCATCGAAAGAATTAATCAAATGTCGTATTCTTCACGGTCTGTTAATGGAATGTTGCAGATATTTAGTTTTTTAATTAAATAATAATAATAATAATAAATGTATTTCCAACTAGATTGATTATTACATTACATTTTATAGTCAATGAATATAAATTATATATTTATATATAAGTTGTCGAAAAATTCAAATCTGAGTCTAAAACTAAAGAACAAAAAGTTTTGACTTAAATTTTAAGTTCATGGTTAAATGCCACTTCTGACTTAATTTAAACCTGAACTTTAGCCGTGAGGTTAAATATTTTTGCATGTAAACCCAAAATACGGTTGTAACTCGAAATATGTTTTGTTTTCGGTTACGTAATCAGCTGATTAGCGATGGTTATGTAATATTCTCCGTAAATCCTTTTCTCTGATTGGTTCAGATTTTCCCGGGAAATTCAAATTTAAAATTGAGAAAGTTTAATATTTAAGTAGCTATTCATTATTTTACAGAACTTTTAACCTCGAACTTAAAATTCGCGCATTCTTTAGTTTTAGACTCTGTTACAGTATTAAAATTAAAATTAAAATCTGTTACAATATTTATGTAACAGTCTTTCTCCAGTTTAAATGATTATATAAATGATTATATTCATGGCTTTTTATTCATTTTCACAAATTCTGAGATTTACGTAAAATAGTATAAAACCCGTTGAAAAATTGCAAGAAGAAAATTGATAAATTCTTTCGATGTATGGTTCATTTAGGGTTTAACTGTATACAAGTTATTACCTCATAAACAGTCAGTGCAGTATTAAGAAGCGCAATTTTATCCGGCCAAGGAAGGTTTCTGTACTGTTCCCACCACCTATATGCACAGAACAGTACGGTACAGTACAGGTTAGTAACTATGTAAAGTACAATACATCACAGGGTTCAGTGCGGTACTGTTGGGTACATATGTTAAAGGAACTGTAAGCGTAATTTCAAGTGACCTTTCATTTGAAGATGGGAATCCCGACTCACAACGGTACCACCTTTAAACCTTTGACTTATCAAGTCTGGTTGACCTCTCCCCATTAATCTTCGGACATGATTTTAATTGCTAAACACTTTGCTTGCAAGCTGTTATATATTTAAAATATATCTATAGTTAGATACTTTCTAAAAGTGACTGAAAATAAACATTTAGTTTTGAATGTTTAAAAGGCTGTTAACGTAATACAGTCGATCTACTTTCCAGTTAAGCAAGTAATATATCAGCTGATTGAGTTCAAACTGTTTCGTATTTTAGAGAAATTCAATCTGGTTTCGATATGCTTAAACAGAAAGATCACTCTACTCGTTGAGTAGCCAAAGGTTTTTTAGGGTACCGTTGTGAATCGGGTGTTGCCCTCTGTGCATGTAGGGTCACTTGAAATCCCACTTACAGTCCCTTTAAGTACATGCAAAGAAAGGAAAATAATTATTACTAAAATTTTTTTAAAAATTAATATAAATTACCTTTTAATTACAAGGGAGACATAGAATCCCAATAAAAACGTGAGATCCCTGAAAATAGATAATTTTTAAAATGTTTAAAATAAGTAAAATAAAGTTCAAAAATGTGTTTACCCCTTTTCTCATTTTAAGAACAGTTTAAAGAGACAGTGCGCTAAACAGTTTAAAGAGACAGTTTGCTAAACAGTTTAAAGAGACAGTTTGCTAAACAGTTAAACAGTTATAGAGACAGTGCGCTAAACAGTTTAAAGAGACAGTTTGCGAAACAGTTTAAAGAGACAGTGCGCTAAACAGTTTAAAGAGACAGTTTGCTAAACAGTTTAAAGAGACAGTTTGCTTAACAGTTTAAAGAGACAGTTTGCTAAACAGTTTAAAGGGACAGTTTGCTAAACAGTTGTTCGCTAAATTTTACCTGGATAAAGGAGAAAGTTCTTTGTTGAAATATATTACAATTTTTTCAAACTCTGCCTAAACAAAGAAAAGTATTCTATAAAGTAGTTTTGTAAAAAAAATTTATGAATTCAACAAGGTAAAGAAATGGCTTCTCAGGTTCCCAAATATGAAGCCAAGTACAAAATGAAAAAAATCCTCCAATTTTGTTCAAAGTTTTTTTTTTTAAACTCTCATTCAATATTTGGTATTTTAGTAATAAACCTTAAAAATGCAATATTAAAAATACAAATGAATAATGTGACCAGTATATGTTTAGTACAGTGTACGATGTACAATTACTTGAAAGTGACAACATTATAGAAATAAATTTTGAGTAAGATATCAATTATCATGTTCCTACATATTATCTATCCTCCTCCATAAAATACAGTCGTATAATAACACTAATTTTCCCAGTACGCGACATATCTGAGGAATATGTGCATTGGTTAAAAATAAAACTTATTAAATTTCTATTGACCGCTGGAAGTTTGAAACTTTGTGATGTAAATATTGCTCAATGCAGTGCTCTCACCAGTTTTTAATGTCAATTATCTTTGGTATTTATATGTGAATGCTATATATGGATAATTTATGTTTTACTTCTAATTTACTAATTCAATTCGTAATCTGTAAGCCGCCCCTCAAGGCCTTACATTTTCAAATAATATGAAACGAAACTAACAGTCTCAAAAGTCGACCAATGGCTCTGTCTAAACCTGTTCCCCCAGCTAAAAAAATAAGGTTTAATATATTCCACATATTTTATTATTTAAGTCTTTATTCAAGCAATGCCGTAAGCTTGAAGGGACTGTAAGTGTAATGTCAAGTGACCCTCTATATCCCATACAAAGATAGCAATGCCCGAATCCCAACGATACCCCTAAAAGCTTTTTCAGATTAAATATGAATTAGATATCAGAGTTTATAATTTTGAAAACCGATCATTTTCAATTGGGGCTTCTCTTTATAAGTGACTTGCACATTTTACTTCAGGAAATTATATAGGAATTATCAGAATTAAATCTATAGAAACGACAATATATCTTCCTTAATACCGAGTCCGAATTTCATGAATTTGAGCCGCGTCTCGAATCTTAAAACATTAAATACAATTTTAAGTGGAACCAACCAAATTTAAGCATCGGCTCAAAGTTTGGAGGCTTCTTGAAATTTTGTAAAAAGATTTTTTTGTGTTTCCGATAAAATTTTGGTGGCTCCGATGGCACTAATAATTATTTCCTCCCAGACCTCTGCTGCTTATTGGGGCTATCTTAAGAGCATTCTCACAAAATACCTAATTTTTTTTATGAGAATCGAAAAAGAAAAGATTTTTACAGTTTTTTATCAAACTTCCCATGGCATTGTTTTCTCTATTCTTGCTCTCTTCACACTAAAACAATGATATATATATTTGGTTAATTATATATATATAGTCCAGTCCATTATTCTGTATTCATGCTGGGAACTTCCCAAAAGGCGTTTTTCCAAGCTTTAACTTCCCAAGGGTATTTTCCCAAGTGGACACTTATCAACTGTGCAATTTCCCAAGCTGCAATTTCTCAAGTTTGTCCTTGCCACCTCCGCCCACCACCCCCCTTAGTCTGTTCTAGCCACAGCGCTCGGACCCCTAGCCCATCCTAGCTGCAGAGCTCTGTAACCATTTCAGCCTCATCAGGCCTTACTTAATTTTTGGGAAGTTGCCGCTTGGGAAACTTCACAATTGGGAAATTGTCACTTGGGAAATTGCCGCTTGGGAAATTGTCACCCTTTTAAAGTTGGAATGTTACCCTTGGGCAAATGCCTTCCGGTAAATATCTAACACCTTGCATTTGATATTGCAGATTTTGATTTATACGTATATATAAATATCAGGGAGTTCAATGAATTACAATTACGAACGCAATCGTAAGTTAAAAATTGCGTAAAGTTATTGAAGATCGAGTTTTTATCAGATGTAAAGTATAGTCTATACAACACAATCAAATTTGCTATTGATACTTACGATGTTAACTTAATCTGATTTTTTTCTGTGATGAAAGATTGCTAAAAAATAGGATGAAAGTGGAGAGAAGGGGATTCTTTTATTTGTAATAACTTGAAACTTATATTAAATGTTTGTTCTTCTTCGTAATTTCATCACACAGGCATTTTATGAAATTATTTTTCTCAAGTATTATATATTTTCATTATAAGTCTCAAGGACACTGTTGAGGATGAGAAGTTTCTTATTAGGTTTTTATATTTTTACATTTTTACTCCAGATATCAAATTTAAGCGTTTTTATTTTGTTCCATTGTTTACATGTGTACCTAGTACCTACAGGGTCTTTTTTGAAAAGTGTTATTTATCATCTCGTAAGCAGATAAAACAAATTTAACAAAAAAAGAATCGTCCAGTACTTTTTCAACATTTTTCATTTGCGAATCTATTTTAAACTTCATGGATAATCCTACAAAAAGACACCTGAACCGGATTTTTTCTGTTTGTCTGTCTATCTGTGTGTTTCAATGTCCAAATATAACTGATTTGCTGATTTGTTCTGAGTGTGGTTTAGACGTTCTAAGTTGAGTGGGTTGACTTTCATAAAATACTTAATGGAACTGTATGAGTCTTTGTCACAAAATCAAATATTCTAATGCCTATATCTTTCCAACCTGATGGTTTTAACGTTTTGAAACTTAGATTATTTGATATAACAGATTTCATAGTTTGTATATCAAAGCTAAAAAATTGGCTTGCTCAGATATAACAAATAGATAATGTATTTGAGATTTAGGGATTTCTAATCACTGTTTGTGGCAAAACCTCAATTCCTTTCTGAAATGTAGAATGTACAGTTTCTCTGTGCAGTATACACTGTACAGTCTATCTATGCAGTGTAAACTGTACAGTCTACCTGTGCAGTGTAAACTGTATAGTCTACCTGTGCAGTATACACTGTACAGTCTACCTGTGCAGTTTACACTGTACATTCTACCTGTGCAGTATACACTGTACATTCTACCTGTGCAGTATACACTGTACATTCTACCTATACAATATACACTGTAAAGTCTACCTATGCAGTATATACTGTAGAGTATACCTGTGCAGTATATCTGTACGGTCTACCTGTGCAGTATACACTGTAGAGTCTACCTGTGCAGTGTACACTGTACATTCTACCTTTGCAGTATACACTGTACAGTCTACCTTTGCAGTATACACTGTACAGACTACCTGTGTAGAATACACTGTACAGTCTACCTGTGCATAGCCCAGTGAAGAGGAATCCACCAAACCATTCCTGGTTCCCCCTTTTCCTCTAGCATCTTCAAATAATAATAAAAGGGACTGTCAACGTCAATTTGAATAATCCTCTCCATTCAAAGAGTCCGATTAACATCATCGTAGTTTATTTTCAAGGCATAGAAAACAACATTGTTACTTCTAGAAATGTTTAAATAGTACCAATGTGAATCGGGTGTGTAACTTTTTAAATGAAGGATCAACCGAAGTAACGTAGAAATTCCCTTTATTGTGCATTTTTTTAAAAAAATATTGTATCTTTAATGCTGACTGTTTTCCTATATAAGCTATTAAAGATTTCTTGAATGCCTTCTGCCAGCTCATCTGAAAATATAAAAGGGAAATAGCTAACTCTTATTTTCATATCTTTGCAAACTGATTGTGAAAACCTTTGTAATTTGTCCTTTTTTTAAATTTCAATTTTTTTTAATTTCAATTTTTTTCGTTACATTTATTTTTCTTATTGATCATAGATTAATAACAGCACAAAAAGAACACTAGATATCATCTTTTTAAGATTTAGGGGGTTTTTCTTCACAATAGCCCTGATGTAGAAGCCCAAAGGAGTTCCGCGCAGGCAGCGCATGCCCTCGTGCTGTCTTGTAATTCAACGCTGCCTGCGCGGACGTACTTTGGGTTGAAAAAGGTCAAGAACGGTTCTTAATTTTCGTCTTGAACTCCCAAACCAGTTGTCTTGTCTGTCTAGACTTTTAAAGTTTCTGCAGGCTTTTAAAAAAGGTTTAAATGTAATTTCAAAACTATATTCTGAAAAAATTTACTTTTTGATGTAAGAAAAGATAAACGAAATTTTTTTTAATTAGCTTTATTGATTAGTTTCAATTTTCATGCATGTATATTCAATACTCAATTTATATTCTCTTAGGGTTAAAAGTTGATGAAGTGCAAGACAGAAAATGTTAAGAATAAACAATATTGAAATTTTTAAAACATCTTATAAAGTCCAAAACCCTTGAAAGTCGAGAAGAATAAACCAAAAGCTTATTGTGTAAGTGTAGAGTGTCGAGTATAGAGTGTAGAGTGTAGAGTGTAGAGTGTAGAGTGTAGAGTGTAGAATGTCGAGTGTAGAGTGTAGAGTGTAGAGTGTAGAGTGTAGAGTGTAGAGTGTAGAGTGTAGAGTGTAGAGTGTAGAGTGTAGAGTGTAGAGTGTAGAGTGTAGAGTGTAGAGTGTAGAGTGTAGAGTGTAGAGTGTAGAGTGTAGAGTGTAGAGTGTAGAGTGTAGAGTGTAGAGTGTAGAGTGTAGAGTGTAGAGTGTAGAGTGTAGAGTGTAGAGTGTNACATCTTTATACATCTTTATACATCTATTATACATCTTTATACATCTTTATACATCTTTATACATCTATTATACAACTAAATACATACATAAACAGGGTGAGCAAACAAAACAGGATTAGAGATACCTTGGACATAATTATTAAAATTTTGTTTAAGTACAGGGTGTCCCACGAAACTTGAATTACACATGTGAAAGTAAATTTACGAATCAATGCTGCAAATTATTTCAAAGATAGTCGAAACCTGTTACAGGGTTTGTATAAAAACATTGAAATGTATAAAAAAATGACAAAATTATTTTAGGACCAAAAAAATTGGAACATTACAAAAACGAAACCTTTTTTTACATTAAATTTATAAAGATAAAAATTTCTTTTTGTTGAACTATGTGTTTCAGTTTTGAACAGATCAGTTGACAGTTTTCAAACTTAGAATACACGAAGAAGAGAGGGAGATAAA